CTGGGAAGACCCAGAGGGATCGGGTGGAGAGGGAGGTGGGAGGGGGGACTGGGATGGGGAATACATGTAAATCCATGGCTAATTCATTTCAATGTATGACAAAAACCACTGCAACGTTGTAAAGTAATTAGCCTCCAACTAATAAAAATAAATGGAAAAAAAAAAAAAAGAAAGTCCTTGTTCCTTCTCCATTATGTCAAGGAGGACAGATTTTCTAGACTTTCACCTCAGATCCCATGGAAAGAACAGTGGGAAGGATGGAGAAAGAAAGAGAAAAGGGAGGAAGGACAGAATGAATGAAGGGAAATTCTCTGAACATAAGATATAGTTTTAGTCATAACAAGGAAAAGATGCATAGCTGCCTGTTGAGGGGGTATGGCTTTTTTATTACTGTTTGCTTATCTATCCCAAAAAATACAGCATGAAAAAAATAGTGTTAACTTGTGCACTGTAGTCTAAAGAAAATATTATATCTATTTGCCAGATTCATTTAAGAGATTCTTCTTAAGAGACTTGATGAAATATTCTATATATAGGTAACTATCACTAATTTTGATTCCTGGAATATTTCTAATGATGAAATAATACAAACATAATCCACCTTGATGATAATAGCACTATTAAGAATGTCCTTGGATTTCCACATTCTTTCTCTCTATAAAATTCAAAGCATTTCACATGTACTATTTTATTAACTCATAGACCATCATTACAAAATAGACTGCAGATATGATTTACCTTACCAAGCCAAACTTCAAACTGAAAAGGGATAATGGCTAAATTCACAATGTGAAGAGTTTGTGGTATACCCAAGGCTAAAATGAAAACATTGAGGCATCCTGATGATCCTAATATACCAGGCAAAAATTCTCTTAAAGAGGAAGAACAAATTATTTGCTTTTTTTTTTTTACTGAAAGAGAAAGAATTTGATACATCACTTACCTCAGTAGAAAAGCACTGCTGGAAACATGTGAATTTAAGAGGGGGAAAATTTGAGTTTGTAAACACCACAGTCAATATATTAATATTTCTTTTAAAATACTTAAGTTTAGACTTTGAGAGCAAAATGATCAGTTTTGAAGATCTATAATTCAGTTTCACTACACAGAAGTTAATAGCAGCAAAGTGACATACTCATAACAGTAACTGCTTTCTTGAAATCACCTTGTCATTGGTTTTTATCCCTGCCTACTCAAAAGAGCAATCCAGCAATCCCATTTAAATAAAAAAAAAAAGTATGAATCAAAAGTCACTTAGTTATTATTGATTCACAGTAAACATTATTTAGACAAACAGGAGTCCCATCAATGTGCTTGGAGGAAAATATTTGAGAAAAGAAAAAAGTCTTGGTTCTGTTTGCTCTGGGACAAGATGCTAGCACTCTGTTCTTACTGAGAACAGACAAGAAGTGACACAGCTGACAGTCACCATCTATTTACCCTTCCTATTATGTTCCCCCAAGCAGAGTCCCCACAGTGCTCAGGCCTGCTTCTCCTTTACTGTTCTCCACTCTGGAACTACAGAAGGGCTCTATCCCTTTACTCTTTGAAACAAGAACTATTACT